TTTGTTTTTACGCAAAAACATGGTTTCTAAAAGCGAGAAGTAGCAGCGTTCCACCGCCGATGAAATCCAAAGGAGAACGACGAAGAACGACCGAGGACGACGGAAGTGAGATGGCCACCCCCTACATTTCTCCCCACTAATACATCATATTCTGTGTTACAGCTGGCTTTGCCACGTGGATATTTCATCAATGGTGACACTTATATTTGGACGTTTCACGTCGCAGCGACCTTGACCAACACACTCTAGTCATCAAAGCGTGCGCTTCCGCTCCGTGACGTCACTGTATAGCCAGTACAGCGCGCAGACGGCTGGGATTGAAAGTGCCGGATCGCTGGTTAGACAGCCCGTAGCAATTCGGATAGAAGTATTAGTGTCCAACCTTCTGTCTTCACTGTGTCTGCGTCCTTTCTTCTACTTGTCCTTGTGTTCGTTTGCGCTGTTTTAATTATATGTTCACTACGCACCACCCACTAGCCCAGCTCCAAACATTACTGGAATTCCATCTTCGCCGTTTCGAACAAACACGACGGGAATGACGACGCACAAATAAATCAAAAACAAAATAGTTATGTACCCTGGCAATCTGGCGAGCATCGCCATCATCGTCGCAGGTGCTCGAAGGGGAAGAATCTCTGCTGGATCTCGACACTTGGCCTAGCCGTAATGATGTAGCTGACGTCAAAAAACAAAGCGCGCATACTTAAGATTCTAGAAAGTGTTGTCTTGACGTTTGACCTAATCAGCGGGCGCAAGTAATCCAACTATATTAGTAGTAGCCAGAATGGCGATACCGTCGAGTCCTTTATGCGTGAGACTACGACCTGCTTGTGACCTGCATACTGACCCACGGTGGGCGAGAGAGATTGGATAGATTCGGTTACCTTTGTATTGTAAAAAGGGACAGCAATCTGACTTCAATTCCTTGAAAACATAATCTGACTCGTTCATTTTTTTATTATTATTATTTTCATCTTAACGGCGCGCAGCGCTGCTCGACAGAATTCGCCCAGGCAACAAAACAGATTACATAATAAATATAACCACAGAAGTAATTTAAAAAATGTCTGACCTTCGGTAAACTGAATCCTCAGTCTTTATCACGCACTATTTCTGATCCCGCCTAGCAGTTGGAGAAGAAATCAAAGGAACATGACCAGCGTTTTTTCTTGAGCTCACAGCTATGACATCTGATGTCTGTTACTGCAGCTATGCTTATCATGACCACAGTCTTGAGATTCCTATGGCCATTGGGCATGCATCATCCGTGGGCCCCACCTCAAGATATCTGCAATTATTGTCACCATAGTGAGTGGACGCAAACCACAACCCAAATTTCGCTAGTCTCGCCATGGCCCGAGCCCACTGACTAACGTTGAAGCTGTGCTTGTGTCCAACCTACCAGTCACGCTTGGCTATCGTCTCACGTGGCTCCCGCGTTCTTGAACCTGTCTCCTGGACTCAATGATTCTCTGGTTTTTAAGTAGGATGGGCAATTGATCGATTGACCTACCAATTAATCGATTAATTCTTTAATCACTATTAATTTTTTCAATCAGTTAATGGGTGAAATTTTGATGAACCACACCAAAGAAAGATTACCTGCTTTCACCAAGCCGACATGGACGAATACATTTATGCGAAGGGCAAATCCTGGGTCGAATTTTAACCTGAAGTGAACTGTGAGGGCGAGACTTGAGAGTCCAGACAAGCGCAGAAGGTTACACGTGTCCCGGCCTCTTGAACCCCGTACGAGTGTCCGTTTATCGCAGCAGAGGATATTGTGAACAATCAAAGGAGGCCGGTGTTGTCGGAGAATATAAACGAACCTCTTCGCCTCATGCAGCTGAAGTAATAATCTGAACGTCTTATCAAAGTTGATTCATAATCCAAACTTTTACTGCGCTTTTTATCAGATATTTAAGACGCAACAAAAATAATATTATGCATGGAAATGAATGAGCCCGACTAATCGATTAATTAATCGATTAAAAGGGGTCGATTAACTGAGTTAATATTTTTAATCAAAAACCAGTCCTAGTTTTAAAAATGCCAGACGGAATATTCCTATAGATTTTTACAAATATATTTATATTTAATATGCGTTTTAGTAGATTACTTTTAGGAACCCAGCTGTGTTCGGACAATTTGAAGGTGGATTGCTGAGATGCTGTAACGTAAACTCCTACAAAACGGAATTGCATGCATTGAGTCAGACATGCAGTGAGCGCAGCATCCTGAAAATGGTTAATTGGGTCTCTTGGTTTATCTTCAAATTTCAAAAATAGCGCAGGAAAAGGAAGCCACAAGACAAGTTGAACAATACAAGGCGCTGTCATTCAATAGTGAACATCCTTGCCTTATATTTTAGATTTCGCTTGAGGCGCCTGAATTGAGGGTAGGCCCAATTGACATCAGCAGCATGAGAGTCCTGAGACTAGACACGCTTTCAGCGATTCAAAGAAACCAGAAAGTTGCAATCAGCACGCAACTTTAACGGTTTTCGATATACTCCACCGTCTTCTACTGACATGCTTGCTTAACCATCCCCAGACGAGACAAACTAACTCCAATGTATTCACCCTTGCGCGATATTGATCTTCGTGTGCATACGCAAGAATAAATCCATCTGGTCCTGCAGCGAAGCATGGGATCATTTACATAAAAACAGCAGATGGGCGAATTGCTTAGTCATGAGGTAGACCGGGAAATGATTTTCGTAGGACGTCGGTCGATCGAGAGAAAAAAAAGTAAAATTGTAATGCCCCGGGATGCATTTTTTCAACAACTTCGCTAGTGGATGCTTATGATAGAAAAATATTTCTACCTATAAAATGAACCATTACGTACACGAAACAACTACGATAAATTCAAACTCACATTGTAAGCACTCGCAGAAAAATCCGGTTTGTTGTCCCCACAGCTGAAGCGTACCTCTAGAGGCGTGACTGTTCTGTATCTTCCCCAATAACACGGGTACAATTTTTCTAGGCAATAATGTCAAAGATATGGTCACGCGCGTCGTCTCCCATTTTGAAATGGCTGAACAAAGTGGTGCGCGCGCTCACCTCCACACCTCAAAATGCTAAGAAAAGTTGTCCCCGCCCTCTAGATGGCGGGGCATTCGTTCCAAGATGGCGGAAGAGACTGGGATAGTTTTTAAGGCGCCTGCTCGCTGACGCTGCTCAGTACGCTCCAATTAAATTATTTGGCTTCAAATCCGACATGGTAAGGGCAGGGGCGTATCACAGGTGACGGAGATGTTGACGTACGTTAGGAAAATCAGCACGTTGTCGTTTTTAGAAGCAGCGAAAACATCACAGAACTTGTGACGTCTTGTGGAAAGCAAGCATGTTTTGGGCGCCGGTCACATCACTGTGTGTGGCAAAACAGTTTTGTGGGTGGTGAAAATATCGTGGTGTTTGCGCTGTGCCTGGTCATTAGTGCTCTACTCTCTTTAGTGGTGCGTGGTGATCACAGTATTGATAGGTCTTTGTGTCAGAGGCTCAGCGCCGAGGTTTTAGTGCATTGCAGTGCGTGATCAACTTGCGTCATGTTTACTAATGGGCAGTTTTAGCATAGTGTAGCCACAGGCTACCGTGCGGTGAGGCATTGCGACCAGAAGTTCGCACTACACATTTGTAACATGATTTTCACCGCGCGCCAAGAGCGTTGCCACGCGGTAGCCTGCGGTAATGCTATGCAAGAACTGCATAATAACGCCATCGGCGTGTCTAGGGGTTTTATTTATTGCCCTGCCAAAAGAAATATTCAAGTACCGTGCTATTCGCATCGTCGAGACCGGCCTCGCCAGAGTTGACTGTTCTAAATACATTTCACGGTCCGCACGCAGAGGCGCTTGAAAATGCTACAAACATTTCTTCATTTCCCTTTGTAATCAACTGAAAGCAGGTATGCGTAGTTTCTTTTTTGAAAGTGCTCGGAGAAAACTGTCACGCTTCTTGTCACGGCCTTTCGGAGCATAAAATGCGAACCCATTCCCGATGTCTATCGCTCGATGCACTGCGGCGCTGGCAGTTCTCTCCTATTTTCTGGAAATAATAAAGTTTTCGTCCATCACACGCAAGAGCTTTGCACCACAAGTGGGAGCTTTCGCCGTCGCGTTGAGCGCAGATTGTATATTGGCGACTGCAGGACCCGAAATCCGTAGCGATATGCGATCTACGAAAAGTTACTCAAGAAACGAGAAATCTCGGTCCCTTTGTGGAACGTTGTTGCGAAGCGGACCACAACTTCCTATTTTAACGCATTCACTTTTTTTATCCGTGAAAGCTGGATGATGCACCAACACGCCGACCAGAACAGCAGCACCAAGCGCGACGGTCCCTGCCACCTTCACCTCCGCCGTCGTCCCCGCTCCTCTGGTTCTTCGCTCGTCCGCGAGGGGGCGAGCGGCGGGCTGCAGTTGCGAATAGAAGTTATAGATGAACTCAACTCACTGACGTCACGCCACGTCGGTGGCACTGCTGGCAGTACTGCGCATGCCCAGACGCTTCACTCCTCCCGAATTTGGTTTCTGCGCATGCGCAGTGCCCACACCTGGTGTTGGCAAAAGCGGGCTTGTTTGGAAACACTGTGTTGGTGTATAAAGCGTCTCGCTCTCAAGTATTCCCGTTCCATTTTCGCGCTAGAACACCGCCCAGAATGGCTACTATAGTTCGTTTCGCTTTAAGACCGACCGCACAATCCAGTGGATTGAAGCAGCGCAAAAAGTGCACATCGCCATGGTGCGCGTTGTTTTTGTGCACGTCTGCCATCCCCGGCAATCGATCACGCGCAGAAGAAGGCAGGATCGCGACGGATCCACTGTGCGGTGGCAGCGAACGCACGAAATCATTGAGAGCCATGGCGCTGCACTTTTCTTTCCTTCGCTTCTTGATTGGCTCCATCAGATCGTAGCGTTGCCTGCTGTCGGACTTAAAGTGAAACAAAGTATATATTTAGGTTAGATATTTATAAAAAAAAAAGATAGCATGAGCGCCTAGACGACAAATTCTCATTCTATTTCAACCGCTAATATGACAAAGGAGTAAGATTGGTACAGCTAGTACGCCGCTCTTTTTGTAGTCCGTCTGCATCGAGGGAGTTTAGTTGCTATTTTATGACTGTTCTTCTGGAGGATAGGCGCTCGCCACTTACACACAAGGAAAGAAGGAAGCTCTTATTATACGCTCTAAGAAATCGGAAGCGCTCACCTTCCCGCAAAGCCTTTAGGACAGCGAATCGCTGGAATCTACGGAGGGAACGCGGCCTATGGACGACGTTAAAAGCATCTCTAGACCAAAAAACAAAACATAGTCATGATCAATGTCACAGCGCGGACTAAACACATTTTCAGCCCCCTCATCCGTCTAGGGGCCCTAATCTGAACACTTGGCGGAAAAGTCGGCGAGAGATTCGGCGGCTATGATCGGCCGGCGCTAAGGTCAAGTGTGGCGTTGGCCAATCGCGGACGCCTGATTTCTCGCCGACGTTTTCGCCAAGTCTCCAGGTTAGGGCTCCAATTCCCTCGTAGATTGCAGAAATCGGTTCTCTCGAGTGTTTTGAGGGAAAGTAGATGCTCCAGATCATTTAAGAGACAGCACATTTTAACAGCAAGGGAACCAAATGCTGTTGTGATAATGAAATGGCCAAGATGTGATTACTGCCGTGGAAGGATGACGTTAACGGTGATGACACGTTGATGTGGTCCAGCGAGCTACGACCTTGAGGAACGCGAACCACGACTACATCGTTACACGGGGGCCCCTGTCCTCGGTACTGGCGGTCTAGATGGCGAGTCCGGTCATCTTTTCGCTGACCGCCCAGAGCTTTCTGGCAAGTTCAGCATCTTCGGATGTCCTGCTGGGCATGGACAGCCGGCAGTCCATGAAGTACTTCCCGCTGACCTTGCGCACTTCGTCCGAGACGGCCAGAAAGATGGATGTCTGGGCTCCTTCTGCGGGAGACTGGTTAAGAAAAAACAAGGATAGTCAGAGAAACCTTGATTTTATGGGGTAGAATGACAGGAAAATAAAAATAAACTAATCCAGCTATGAAATGTTTATAAGCATAACACAACTATAACAACTTTTTTTTTTCCCAATTCGCACTTGGTGATTAGGAAAACATTATTGGCAGCTCCACATTGGCTCCCTGATCAAGCTTCCCATTTGTTTATTTTTTCCCCACAAAGAGCCGCTTCTCAACGCTTTTCTTCTTGCCTAATAGCATTATTGAATGCAAGAGTTAATAAAGAACACATTTCGAAAAAAAAAACAATCTTATCCCCACTGCAGAAATTTGATGCTGCATGCCCACAACGGGGAATGCTGTCTCCCATCCCGACGGATGCGAGTGCTTTGGTATGCTCCGGCATCACTGAACGACACTCACTTGCGAAAAGAAAGATACATCACTCGTAAGTGATAGTCACCTTGCCGAAGAAGTAGAAGAGGCCATTCATGAATATGTTTAGAAACCCGACGTAGGTGCTGTTGATGTCTGTCTGCACTGCACCGGGATGCAAGACATTGGCCGTCACACCTGCAATAATTCACTTGCTTTTGTATCTCACTACATGCCAGGTGCACACATAGCAAGCACAAACAACTGTCTGTTGCTACTGCGCAGCTTTTTTCTAATGTGTTACCAAACGCTTTTGTCGACATCGACGTTGCCTCTATTTCGTTGACTTCTTGTCCAGATTTATGCAACGCGATCAACGTATCATTTACTAGGATTCAAGACTGACAGCAAAGTACGGTAAGTGCTAAAATGACTATCTCAAACGAAATATTTTGCATGAGGGTATGATTTTGCATGGTTGTTAAAACAATTAAAGCGGAAAGAGTACTTTATGCTATCTCTGCTTCAATGTCCTTTTTCACCCTCTACAATTGGAACAGCTTATTGCGCGCCAATATGATAACAGTACTGGGTATCCCGCGTTCAATTCCTACCTCTGCCCATTTCCATCTGGGTGAGCATCGTACCGGCGTGCGGCCGTGTAGCACTACTGCCTGATGCACGTTAAAGACCACAAACTATCAGTCGTACTGTGCTGGCTAAATTGCTAATCTACAGTGTGCAACAATGTCGCCATGTTCTGTGAGACTAAACTCCCTCTGTATAAACAACTAACGACTAATTTGCTTTTGATAAAAATACCATTTGAATTGAATTGAATTGAATTTATTTCTGCCACATTGTGCCGAGGACACCGGACAAAAAAGCCTTCAGAGGAGACTTGACAGGGTCCAGTGCCCTTGTAGGTCCATGGCAGCTTCTAATCTAAAACTATCCAAACGACTTTTAGTTATTAATTTGTGCATTCTTTAAGGTAGAGACATTATGACGAACACAGGAGATTTCCGGGACATTAGCAAACTATTTTTTACCTCCCTTGGGGAACACACACACACACTTGGATGGGTTATTGTTTGTATTTCTAAATTTATTTCACGTGCTTCGTAGTGTTGAATGGATATTACTTTTTATACAATTTTACGAATATCCATGTAACCTTCATTTAGTCAACCCTTAAGGAATTAATGTATCGTAATGAGGTGATAAAGTGACCACCTTCAAGCGAGACCGCTCTACGTCACCTGTTCCCTGAAGGCGACGAGCCAGTTCTTTGGTGAACAAGATGTTGGCGAGTTTGGTGTCGCTGTACACCTGCATGGGCACCTTGTAGTCACTGTATTCCAGCCGAGACGGGTCCACACGCCCGAAGTGGTGCAGCAGGGACGACAGCGTGATAATTCTGCTCGGAGCGCTGGCCTTCAGTTTGCCTGGGTGCAGTAAACATCGGAAAGTTGGCTTCCCTTGAAAAGGTTGTTGAAAAAATGTCCCAACCAAAAAAGCAAACTAGACGTTCGAGTCTAGACAGCGTATGATACATCTGTCTTTCAGGTAGAGCGACACTGGTTCACGCTGTAGATAAGAAACTGAGCCAGTGCAGTACGACAGCCAACCTGTGGGTTTGATGTGCATCACGCAATGGCGATGTGCTACAAGAGCTCACGATGCTCATCCAGATGGAAACGAGCAGGGGCTGAAGTTGAGCCGAGGATTCCTTGGTTCTACAGCGCGAGCTTTTGCTCCATGTACTCCGAATTGCGGTGCGCTAACACATTCAATACCGATCCCCTTTGAAAATGGATGTGATGCGTGACTATGACTATGACCTTACGTCAAGTCATCTCCAGAAAGATGATGGGCCTGACTCAGGAGGGAAGGTGAGAAGAGATGCTACGAGTAGGTTTCGCGGGGTCTTGAAGATCGGTGGCCCCAACAAAGTTGAGAAGCGGCCACAATGTGTTCAGTAGGTCCTTCAAAGTCGACGTACTTGCAGGGCAACCCAAGTACAAAGCAGGTAGGTGCCTGAGATCGGCAATGGAGTGTCGGTGAAACCAACGAAAACGTGTACTCAACCATTCGATATTTCGTTCTTTCTTTTTATTTTAACGCAACTCCTCCTGTTGAACACGCTCAGGGACCTTGCGTAAGAAAGGATGACAGTTTCTTGTTGTAAGTCTCCCTGCATTATGAAATAGCGCGATTCATTGTCTGGAGTTTTTTCTTCAGCTCACACGCCCTTCTCCCACTCCTATTCAATTGAATGCATAGTGCTCAAACACGTGCACAACTTGCACTAAGTACTTCTCCTTCGTCCTCAAGCGAGTACGTCTGCTGTATAGATAAAATCTGACAGTAATTATGTTTTTCTAAATGCAACGATAAAATTGGTTTACAAGATGAGTCGATGACGCAGCAAAATGAGAATAGCGCCCAAAAGGGTTTAATATATATATATAGTAAAATGTCTTGCTCTACCGGGAACGTCTGTCAGTTAAAGAGACCACGGAGTGATTTCTCGATTTCATATATATTGTGAATATCCGAGATGGATGCACGACTGCTTCCGCAGTTTGGAGCACACCAGTCTATCAACAAAGCGGTCTTGCTTTACAATCACACGGCAGACTAATTCCAATATACGCAGAAGTAGATTGACAACTGCCCAGTAAATAAATAAAAATAAAATAATTTGAAAAAAAAAACAATTAAAAAACAACAACGGTAGCTTGTGTTTGTCTTTTAATAAGATCTTGCAGACTACAAAGCTTCAGTAGCAAGATAATGTCTGTAAATTATAGGTTTCTTTCCCACAAATAATGCATTTTTAAAATATTTTATTTTCTCTCAAACTCCAACTGACATTATCACAAGCAAGTCCTACGTTTTTGTGCCTCCACCAAATCGGAAGAAAAACGTATCCAGCCTGTTAACCTTTTTTTTTTTTTTTTTTTTCTTTAAGCCCGTCACTGGGTTTGACTGTTTCGTTTATTTTATTGTTCCTTAGTTTGCTTCTGGAGTATTTGCAATTTCCGGTGGGACCGGAGGATTCAGCAGTATCTTTTGTCGTCGTTCGTGCAGCTGTTTTCTTTTCAACTTTCGCGTGATGGCATTTTTGTTCCTTTGTGCATGCGTCTGTAAGAAGTTGACCTGTGCAATGTCGTATTTTTCTTTTTGTCCGATTTATCGAAGATACGTACCACCCCTGCCCCAGAGAGGCAAATAGTACGAATAAATAAGCTAAATAAATTCCCATCATCCACTGCACGCTCCAAATTCAGTTCAGCGGGCACGCACAATGACCCTGCTCTGAATCATGTTTTTTGCGTAGTCTACGAATCGATCGAATAAAAGAGAGAGAGAGAAACTTGAAGGAGAGAAGGATTAAGAAGGACAAGTGGAGTGGAGTCGCGTATTGTCAATGGAGAATGCTCAAAAAACACCGAATTATCTTTTTTTTTTTTTTACGAATGCGCGAAAGAGTGAGGTAGAAGTAAGATATTATGTAAATTGGCACTCAAGTGCTTTCTACTGAAGCTTGTTTTTGATGGCTTCCTGTTTGTTGGGTTTCAGTAAATAATCATGACAAGTTATAGATGGCAAGTAATCTTAAAGCAACTTAAATACACGGAAACATTGTTCTGTTGAGTGGCCATACTAGGGCCCCCCCCACTTCCATCAAATGGGATCAATGAAACTGCTTAATTGCGTAGAGATTCCGAACGTTACTATTAATGCTATTTTTAGGCGCGTTATGCATGATGCTTTGACAAAAGCGTCAAATATTTGGGTGTAGAAGACGTAATACAGCAATTATTGTTTGAAAACGCCGTTTGACGGCGCCCCCTGTTGTCAGATTCAAGGCGCTGAAAGAGGACCGTGTCACGATCTTTGATTATACTTTTAATAAGGAAATCGACCTCCCATAAGCGTGATGTCAGGTTTTTTAGGATGCTTAGAACCCGAAGGTTGAGTTCTCACTATAAATCGACGATCTCAGAATCCACTTGAGGGTACTGCAACAGCCCCAGTGACGAGGTATTTTTTTAACCCGGTAATAAGCGCTGTAAACGTGAGTAAGACGCGAAGGTATCGGTCGCGCACGAATACCTAGGAGTAAGTTGGTTAGCAGAAATGGCCCCAGGTGGTTTGTCTGGAAAGTCTGCTCAAATCCGTCCACGGTTTCCACTCTTTCTGGAAAAGCTGCGTAAGGGAAGAAAGAAAGACAATATAAAACTTTTTAAAATTAAATCAAAGAAATTACGCTTAGTGCACACGCGGGCTGGTGGACGTTTACCCTGGTGATTTTAACCCGAGACTGGGTTAGAACGAGGAAACTTCTTTTTACAGTGGAACAGAAAAATAGAGGGTCAGACAGCGTCTTTCCTCCTTTTACGCCAGTCTCGGGTTAAAATCATAGTGGTAATTTTCTTAAAATGTTAATCACTTTGAATTAAAACGAAGCTTTAGCAGGTCGTTTTAGCTTGACGATACCTCACCAGAGTGCGCCTCGGGGTAAGCGGCAAAGGGTAAGGCCGAGTTCCCGATTATATTGCTCCACAAACTTAAACGAAACCTGCTAGAAGCCCCCAGTTCATAATTTTAGTTAAACAATTAATCTCCAAAGCCTGCAAGTATTTTGAAACGCCGAGTTCGCATACACAATTTGCGCATAGGTCATCGTGTCATTTTAATTCTTCTCTCAAATGTTGTAAGAAACGGCGTTCCCTGAAATCCAGTTCTTAGGATCAATTTCATATTGAGAAGCTTATAAGTACCCCCTTATAGAGCTGGAAAACTCTAAGCGTACCTTAAGTTTTAACAAATTTTGTTCAAATTAATCGCAGAAAACACAAAAACGCTGAAATGACACCCCCAAAATTAAGGGCAAGACAGAGCGTGATAGAGGCATAATAAACCCAAAGAAATATATCACCATGATGATTCGATTAATTATGTTTCCCAGCAACAAAACCCCGAATAATAAATAAACAAATAAATTATCGAATAAACGAATAGACGAATGAACTCACGGACGATGCCCGCGTTGTTGATGAGGACATCCAGTCTCTCTTCTCCGGCAATGATGTCGTCCGCGAACTCCCGGATGGACTTGAAGGAGCACAGGTCCAGTCTCCGGAGGACCACCTCTCGCCCGGTCTCCCTGTAGATCTCCCTGGCCGCTGCCGCGGCCCTGCTGGTGTCCCTGCAGGCCAGGATCACCCTGGCGTTGCGTCGGGCCAGCTCCTTCGCCGTCTCCTTGCCAATGCCTGCATCGCCACGCTGGTTTTTCGTTGAGGCTGGCCCGTTTAACCTTAAAGACCGACGACCAGTTCGCGCTCTCCACTTTTCCCCCGCTTCCTCTTCTCCCCCTTCTACCCTGTCCACCATTGCCTGTATCCTCCTCCCCCATGGTGCGGAGGATCTTCTGCCTTGCAGAACCTCGTGTCTGGTCGTCGGCCTTTAAAGCGCGCGTCACACTGCTCGTGCATAGTACAAAAGACGCGGAGTTTCTCCACGGACATGATGGTAGAATTGTCTGCGGGCTCGCCTCATTCATGTTCAAAAGCACGTTTGTTGTACACATGAATGTATCCTTCGAACATGTTTAAAAAATGTGTTTTGTATGTTCAATGTGACAGGACTATCGCGCAGAAAATAAACACGCTTCAGACAGCATCTGCAGGCTGTCTTTTGTATGATGGATTAGCTGCAAGTCAAGGCGTCCACAGATAAATTCTGTCCTCATGTCTGGAGAGAAACCCGCGTGTATTTTGTACGATGTATCTGTAGTGTGACCCCGGCTTTAGACGTTTCCGTTAAAGCTCTTTTTTACTAATTTAGGAAATCCTAGCCGTGTAAAAAAGCAATAGTTTTTATTTTTTTTTAATCCGAGCTTTTGTTTTAAGTTCTAAAAGTTCGTAAATGCGTTTTGTTTTTCGTGCCCGGCTGGTACATTTTAGGTGTGAAAAAAAGGCTGCTAATCAGGAGTAGTTTCCTAACTAGGTCGCCTCCTCTCCAGCGTTCCCCCTGCCAAACAACTAGAGGTGGGAGGAGCTTCCCCTTAACTCTCAACCTGTCATGGACTACAGACGCTAGATAGATAAGGTTCGTTAGGAACTCCTCTCTGGGAGATCAAGGACGACACCCCCATCACCTAGTCCAGTGGTTCTCAAATAGGGGTCCGCGGAGTTTAGCCTCATCAGTCAAGCCCGGCAATAAAACTTGTATTTTCTTAGATTGAGAAGAAAGGTTCCAGATTTCGGGTGAGTTTTCTGATGTTTATGTTAATAGGTGAAGTCTACTTCACACTAGTACTCAGCTATATCCACTTATTAAATATTTATAATAATTAACCTATACTCTCCCTTCCCCTCACCATGCATGGGGTCCTCCATCATCCCCGCCGATTCAAAAGAGGTCCGCGAAACATCAATGGCTGAGAACCACTGACCTAGTCCATACAGCGAGGGACAAAGCGAGTTTTATCCACCAACAAAAAAGAAATAATAAAAAATAGATTTAGATATTTTAATGAGGTATAAGCAAAATAGCACCCAAATGTAGCACTGGAGGTCCAGGCCAGGTACTACATATAACAGAGCTTGCCGTTTTCCGGTTCAGAAGAGTGTTTTTTTTGTTTTTTGTTTTTTTTTTATTGAATTGAAAAACGACGGCCGTTGAAGCCTACGAATACGGGGAGCTGGATTGAGTCAGCTACGGAGAAGGAAAACGCGGACCATTTTCTCATTTCTGAAAATTGCTGATAAGTTTTCACTTAGATAACGGCTAGTTTTGAAATTGTGGCATCTGGTTTGGAGCACTAGGGCGACATTTTGGTGGAAACTGAGCATCCGGCGATGGGTAGTTTATTTTGGAGCTACGAATTACTGGGTATTTTTTTCTTCCATTCATTACTTCACAAATAATGTTGACTCAAAGTTCTAAACTTTTTTTTTAAGAAGTCAGGTTCATGAGTCTAACTTCATCGAAATTTGCTGTTCAATAAACTTTCTCGAAAAGCAATTTTTTTTTTCTTTAGATATAATTCGGCGTTCTCTCTCACGCTTTACAAAAAGTTTTCAACGTACCTATAGGGAGTATTCACTGGAGGCCATATCTGAGGGTGCTCTTTAAAGCGCATGCTCAGAGCGAGGTCACATTAATAGGCTGCTAAGACCGGCAGTCTCGATGGTGCGGAATGCACGTTGCAAAAGAACTGTGGAAGCTCGCCGTCAGCACGCGCTCAGCAGTCGCGCACACAGCTATGGCCGCCAGTGAATACTTCCTATACTCTGGAATATCTGTTCAGTCTGAACTACTGAACTAACGAGAACCCAAAAGAAAAATACAGGCAGAATAGACTACACTAGGGTGCCTCAATGTCCTTCTGTTTAGGGTGATGCCACCCTTTGTAGTACCCGATGCCGACAGCAAGCACTCACAAGGAAAACACAAAGAAATTGACGAAAACAAAATGTTGCCATAGCACATTCAGGGCCACAAACGCGTGCCGGGACACGCTCTTTCACGTGCTTTTGAGCAAAAAAAAAAAATAAAAGTGTGGGACAGAATGGCCCGATGTCTCCACCGTAAGCAAAGCGCACATGAAGGCACCTTAGACTACACACGTGGACAACTTACTGCGGCTTTGCAGTGAAAGATACAGGGGCGCGTGAGCGAATTCAAATTAAAGTTGCGCGCGCGCACCATTCCTCTCGTCGCAAATGCGACAGAAAATTGCCAGACATGTCAAAGATAAGCGCCAAAGGCACAAAACAAAACGTTCAGGTTAGTAAGGAAAGAAGAAGAAAAAGAACGTTACCATTCGAAACGGTTCTGGTTTGGTGGAGTTCACTTCCGCGGCAATCCGTCATCGCTGTATTTGTCCGTGTCGGCGGCACTCGACATGTTCACGCATCGCTGCTTCCTCGAAAACGCGCATTCACCCCATTTTTTCACTACGCTGCCGTATTGATTAATGACTCACAGCCCCAAATACGAAACGGGTAAACGCTATTTTCGTGCACACCCGCGAGCATGCAGCTTACGGTTTGGTGGTGCGTCTACACCCGTAAACTTGTCAAACAAGTGTTACTAAAAGTCGCGATCACGCTGTTAATTCATCGCACAAAAGTCATACATTAAGTTTGAGGCTGCATATGAAAGTCTGAAAATTAATTGTCCTCTGCGTCCGCTTACGCCATCGGGCACCGCAGACTTAAAGCCATGAAGTTCGATAAAAATGAATTGAATCCTTGGATCAAATGTGAATGTCAAGTGAAAAAAAAAACAATTGGGAACTCATCTATTAGAAAAATAAAACTTGGCGCCGCTAAGCGAATGATCCAGGAAGGACTGACAGGGAGAAAGGACACCGCAGAGCCCGACACCAGCCCGACCCCGCGAAGGGGCCCTCAAGGGCAGCACCAGTGGGTCGACGACGGTCGGGGGCCTCCCTGCGCCGGCAACCGCCGTCGTAGAGAATTTTGCTTCCCCCCCCCCCCCTCCCAAAGGCAGACCCCTGTCAGGGAGCCTACACCTCAGTAGAGGGATAGTTGCCAGAGCCTCCGTTGCAGCGTATACAAGCTGGCAGGGAGCACCACGTGCAGGTGGAGGTGGACTTCCCTCGTAACATCCCACCGCGGGGGCTTGCATGCGCCTCCGTACAAAATACAGTCTGCAGACAGTTTTAGGGAACCGTTTTTGCATTTCCGATATGGCAAGATGGGCCCTCCGGTACGAACTGCGCACCCGCTATACCACAGAAGACTCGGATATGCACAGGGCGTACCGGAGGGACCATCGTATACCGTATCGGACGCCGTGCAATAAACGGTTCCCTAAAATTCTCTACTGTCTGAGGTGTATTTTTTTCTTGTTCGACAGGCATGCCACCTTGGTCACAAAAAGAAAAAAAATAATAAAGAAGGCTGCAGTCATGCTTCAAGCGTACATGGAAACATGTTTAAAGATGCTTGGTGCGCGTTCTTCGGATAATTATGTCAACGTGTCTGCAGCGGACAACGTGTCTTTTCTTTGATGTATACGGGCAGTATGACAGCGGCTTCTAACATGTATCTCGCTTGCCGAACGGTTCACCGAAACACGTCTGCTTTGAACGGTGTCTCGGAGAGCTTGTGTGGTTTTACTTTGCCATCGCACGCTCGTGACCCCGAGAACAGGAGGAGTCGCATACTATGCGAAATGCAATTAAATCGTCTGTTTTTTTTTGTTTTTGTTTTTGTTGTTTTTTTGTTGTTTTTTTTTTTGGGGGGGGGGGGGGGCAAAGTTTTTTAGGGTCTAGTCTTATCCGTCCGGCGTCCGTGCTCACATCGATCTTGCTGGTGCTCGTAAGTTCACGTGTTGGTGTAGGAAAAAAAAAAACGATGCAAAAAAAAAATGTTTGCGCAGTCGGCAGGATTCGAACCTGTGCAACGAGACAGACCCCAATGGATTTCTAGTCCATCGCACTAACCACTCGCCCACGACTGCGGGACGAGCAGGGGACTCTGAGATGTGGTAGTAACTCAAGAGGTTGGGATGTCTTGGATGAAACGTTGCATGTAGCCGCTCAACGTCTATACAAGAAAAGGCGCTGCGGTCAAATGCGTATATAATCGCGTTAAACTTTGCATGCATTGGCTCAAGAGGGCGCTGCGGTCAAATGCTCAAATGCGTATATAACAACCTTTCATACCACACATTTTCTTTCTGAGATGGATGAAAACGAACGAAAGGCTCGGCATGTTGTGGCTCAGCGTCTACGCAGACAAGCACCACCAGAGCTTCGCCCTAATCAACATCATTCACCACGTAAAGATGCGGTCAATTTTTTTTTTCCAGGGGTTTTGGTGAAAACGGAAAGAAGCCGAGCTTTGATTGGCTCTAATTAGTAGGATCGTGGGTAGACCTCAAAGCAAGCTGCCTTGAGGTCTACACCTTATCCTTCAATCAGAGCCAATGAGAGCTCGGCGTCTTTCTGACGTCACCACAACCTCCCTGCAAAAGAAGCAGACCAACTTGCGCTACGGACAGTCATTAACTGCTTTAACGCATCGATGGACGAGACCTACTGTGTTCACGCGTCTCAATTCGGGACGGGTTCCTGGACGCGTTTTTATCAGTTAATGCCCCAATCTGATTGGCTACGGAGAGGGATAATAAAATGTTTGGGACTAGCCACCCCTGGAGAAATATTAAACTCTTAGTGACAGCACCAATCATTAATTGAATAAGTAATCACGACGCAATTTTCGCCATTTTCTGAAACAGGGCGGCCGGTGCGTTACCACGGGGACCCACTTCCAGCCACCATAACGGGGAGGCGCTCTGGAGGCAGGGGCACCGGTCTGGCAACCACGGTCAAGATGAGGCGATTTGCAGATACTCAACAGCAAAATGGCGGCGCCCAGGGGGGTTCGTGAAATGGACTCACCCGCATTGGCTCCCGTGATGAGCACGGTCCTGCCGCTCATGTCCGCGTTCGAGAAGCACCTTCCTAGGGTGAGCCGGCTGTACACCTTGCAGACCACGCAGATGAGGCACAGGGTGGCCAACAGGAAGGAGACGGGCCACAGCAGCAGCAGCAGCGACACCACGAGGCCGCCCGGCGAACCATCGTGATGCCGCCCCGTCACCGCGTCCAGGAGCTTGGGCTCGAGCTGCGAGATGAGGCGGTGAGGCATGCGGGACCTCCTAGCGTGCGGCGTTAAAGGTAAACTACGGAGGCTTTGTCTAGTTGATACAAGTGTAAAACATGGTACAGGTTGCCCCAAAAAAATTTGCATCTTTTTCTTTTTTTTTATTTGTAAAAATTTATTACACGTTCTTGAACGCTCAGTTCCGGCAGAAATCTCAAAGTTTCTGGACGAACAGTCAAAAGTTTAAAGCGATTTTTGGGAAATTTCATATACAACGCTGTCAAAGCTGCTGGCGCGAGCGCGTGGCTTCATCTATAGTTTCTAGGGCAGTACAGTTGATCGATTCACCTACCGATTAATGGATCAATGCTTTAATCGCGACTAATATTTTTAACCATTCACTGGAATTAAATTTTGACAAACAAAAAATGTAAAAATTTAACGCTTTCACTACGCAGACGTAGACGAGTACACCTGCACGAACATTATGGACACAAGCAGTGCTAAGCACGACGACTAATAGAAAAATTGGACAGAGCGGGCTTTTTCCCCTTCTACTATATCCTCATGCTTAGCGCTGTTTGTGTCCATAATGTTGAACAAACTGGCCCGCCCGTTAATTTTGTAGCACGCGATGAAGGCGAACTTTAGGTGAACTTTTGACCTAAAGAAAACTGTAAAGGCGAAATTCGTGACCCCAAACGAGTGGAAAAGATTATACGTGTCCCCACCATTTCAACACCTTGCGAGTGTCCGTTCCCATTAGAGACTATTGTGAAGAATCAGAGTTCGCTATTGTCGAATAATATCAACGTACCTCTTTGCCTCTGCGACTGAATTAATAATTTGCGAGTGTGCGTGTATTGTGACTGTTCTCAACCACAACATCAAGGTTAATTAAAAATCCGATATTGTACTGCGCCGTTTATTACATATTCAGCAGATGCAAAACATTTATTTTAACTTATATAAAAAAAAAGCTGTTATGCGTGGGAATGAACGAAACCGAATAATAATCGATTAAAGGGCGGCGATTACTAGGGTTAAAATCTTTAATCGACGCCAGCCCTAATGGTTTCGTTTGTCCAGGAACGCGTGCGAATGGAATGCGAAATCAAACCCCATGTTCGAGCCAGCAGCTTTGACAGCGTTGTACATTAGGTATGAAACAAAGTGTTCGACGATTCGTATTTTAGCTTCGAGTTAAAAAACAAAAAAAAAGAAAGAACACCTTTTTCTATTTTTTGAGGGGGACCACGCTATAATTCGAAGGCTTTATTGTCTGATACCGTAATCGAGAGGAAATAGGCTACCAAAAACTCCCGTAAAAGGAGAGCCCGTTTCCTTTAAGTTTTGGAATGAAGCAAGGCTCCAACAGGAATATCTTGCGCGTGAAATCGAGTGCAAGAAGGACGTATGCTTCGTCCGTGATGGTATTTTCTTTTCTGAATCACTCGCACCCCACCCCTTCGAGTTCCAGTCAGAAGAGTCGATGGTTTCTAAGCTTTTGTGCCCACATTCTGAGTGCTCGGCACCGACGGCGTGCTTTTGGGGGGGCCTTCCATTAGGCGAGGCGTAATGCGACCTCGAAATAGCTCTGCCAAAGTGCGCCGAGCGCGTCGGATTGCTGCAAGCGTCCACTTTCAGATAGAAATGGTGTGCCTTGTGCCTTCTCACTTGGTGCTTTAATCTATCAGTCTACGCGGGTCCACGTAGTGGCTTTGCCGCAATAAGACGACTTCCAACAAGTTGTAGGCAATTAGACCGTATTTACGTGTTTCTCTCCTCTGTTGGGTTTTCGTGATGCTCTTGAAAGCAACGGTGTGCAGCGTGTGGTGGAAGTTACGCGTATCTTCACAACAGACGATCAACGAAGAAGTCTGCTGTGCTAAAGAATATTCTGTACTTTACCTGTTTTGTGGGGTGCCATTTCGACAGTGCCTTGTTATACAGTATAACTATCTGCTTCATATTTGTGCTGCTGTAACTTTGTCACATTTGTGGCCCTTACTTTTCTCATCCCTCTGATGCCATCATTAACATCTTTCTTTTTTCACTTTCAAGTTACGGAAGTTATGGAGTAGCCGCGTTGTTTTCAAGGCTGCCGATTTATCCACAACCATCCTTTATTATTGTTTTTGTTTCTCTGCCTCTCTCTTGAGAGCTCCAAAACTCTTTCATCACATTTGTCTTTTCATTTTCTCCTGGCGGCACCTCATTTTTCGCCGGTATCAGCTTTGTTCGTAACCTTTCACGAGCTTTTTCGCGAAACAAGGGTCATTTTATTTTTACGTGTAGTTTTTTTTTCTCTTTAGATTGTACCGACTCATCTTCGGATATAACAAAATTCATAACCTAAAAACACTAAAAAACAAAAACTAAAAGATTTGCTCATGATTATTACGAAGGTCATTTCATTTTTACGTATAGCTTTTTTTTTTTTTTTTATTGTACTGCCTTATCTTCGAATATAGCGAAATCCCTAACCTTAAAATACAAAATACAAAAACTAAAAGATTTGTTTGTGGTTATAATGCGATTAAAGCAAAGGTGCAATCGAGCTGGAAAATAATGACAATAGTATTCCTTGGAAAAGGGAACAAAGGGGACAAAGGAAAAAAAAAACACACAAATCTCCAAAAAGATTTGTTTGGGATATTTGCGCTTGTTCCTTGTTCCCCTTCTCCAGGGATTATTATTGTCGAGATTTGCTTTATTGACATATCCCATAAGTTTCCACTCGTCGTACCAGACGCAAAAGATAACGAAATAAGGATTGATTCACTGTTTTGTAAGGAGGTCGTTGACTGTCAACATAGTCACCTCAAGTAGGCTGCGTTTCACATAAGCCCCGTTGATAGAGACACTATACGGCTAGAAACCGAGATAGAGGAGGAGATGAGAGCGCGATGGGGATTTCAGAACACCGAGCTCTGGTTGGAACGTTTAGTGGGTACAGACGCAAAGCTAGCTGCCTCTGTCTCCACTCTGTGTTCGAACGCTGGACGGCGGCGTTCGACGTTCGAACGCGTTTGAAGAGTGAGTAGGAACAAAAGCAGGTAGCTTTGCGTCTATACCGACTGTAATTATTCCAACCAGCACTCGGTGTTTTGACGTCCCCGCGCGATCCCGTATCCTCCTCTCCCTTAATTTCTACCCGTATACAATAACCGACAGCTCACTAAACGCAAGGCGCTGCGAGTCTCGAGCATCTAATTACAGCTCAGCAGCCAATGAGATTGCTGCATTGGCCCATGCGGAACGCAAGTTCATCTGCCTCTTTGAAAACAAAAAACGAAATAGTGGGTAGACCTCAAGGCATCTAGCTTAAAGACTACCTACTATCCTTTGAATCAAAGCCAATCAGAACTCAGCCTCATTCTGACGTCACTGCAACTCCTGCGCAAGAAGCAGAGGAATTGATCTCCGCATAAGAACACCAAAGAACAAATCGCGAAACATCGAAAGCGACATTTAAAAAAGAACCCTATGGTAGCCACGGCGTTTGTCGGGAATGCTGACAGAATGATTTGTCGTTCAGACTTCAATCGTACACACAACCGGAAGCAGAACCGTGACGTCACGGCCAATCAACGCTCGAGTTAGCTCCGGCGCGCAGGGCGTCAAAGTTCCCGAGGTGATTCTAAACCAAACATTTATGTCACGCCTGGCAACGAAAGACCGCCCGGTAGAATAACCCTGTCAGCTACTACCGCCCTATGGCTCGAAGATGTCCAAATATAGAAACGGCGATGGATATGGACTGTGTAGAGAGAGGAAGAAATAACGGAGGGAAAGGAGGGGTAGAGGAAAGTGGAAGAGGAAGTCAGTTTTCTTGAACTTGTCGCGCAGAGACGGAACCGTGAGGAACGTCGGCTGTCTGCCGTCTGTCGCGGATGTCCTCTTTGTTCTCTTGCTGAGGACTTTCGCCGACACGGCCGCTGGTGTCACGCTCGTTGCAGATGCAGCCGGTGCGGGAAATAAACGCACGCCCTTCTTCCCTTGTCTCTTTCTTTAGTACTAGACTTCTTCGTTTAGTCGTTTTTGTAAAGGTTCGTTGCCTGTGCTCGGGTCTTAGCGACAGGACGTGCAGTTGGCTGCGGCGACCTAGTTACGAACGGGCCAATCATTCGGACGAGGTCGTGGAGACGCAATTACGGGCTTCGTCCTTGTGGGAGGGATAACTTGATTGATCGGGCGGTCTGCGGAGGAGGAGACAAGTTTGGAGGGCGCCATATACGATTCCTTTTGGACAGGCACAAGAATAGAAGACTGCTGCGTGTCGACTGCAACAGCTTACCACCGTTCGTAAGCTACCAGCGACTTTAAAGCCGTGGTCACACTGCTCATGCAGCGTGCAAACGACAGTCTTCTGACACTGTCTGATGAGTGTTTCCTCCTTGTTTGACGGTCCATTCACACGTGTCATACAAGGTGTGTTTGCAGACATATTCGAAGCATATACCCTGTACAAAGTAAACATGCACGAGGCGTGTCCGTAAGTACTTCTGCCATCATGTCTGCAGCGACTTTTGTACGGTGAGTCAGCAATATGACTGCTGCTTAAGGTTCGAAACTGACCAGGAGTCCATATGATGCACACGTGCACAAGATGACTGGCGTATCTAGCGAGAAAATAACCTTCCCTGCCGAGGAATGAAGCGACCGTTATCCAATATACCTAAAAACTCGGGATGAAATACGATTCAGCGGTTTCACGAGCTTCTAGTCTCTGGGAGCAAGCTCGACCTCAAACGCGTCCCGTACTACTGGAATTACTGAATTGTGGATTATCGTAATCGTGCTAATTATTTGCAGCTCCATAAAGTTTTCAAACAGACGATCTTAAAGGGCACTGAAAATAAGATGCCGATTTATATTGTGCTGAATTTAAGTAAAGCCAAGATTGAAAAAAAATAATAATAATAATAAACACGCAGGACGAAGACACAATCACATGTGGCGACATCGTCTTCGTCCCACATGTTTATTTTTTCTTCAATATTGACCCGCACCAACAACACGGTTTTCGCGCCCATTAATGAATTTGGTAATATACAGATACCGGGAGGTGGAGTGCTTAAACTACTGTAAACGACTTATTTTTAGCGGGCTCAATATTCCGCGATTTAGGTCTAAGCTGAAGTTTTGAAAAAATTCACGGATTCTACTTTTCGCGACCGCGATGGGATCACAATCCAACGTGTTTACATTTTACCTGAATTTTTCGCGGGACCTATTTTTCGCAATTTGCTGGCGGTTCGCGAAGTTCGTGAAAATTAGGTCCTCGCGAAAATTAAGTCGTTTACAGTATATAATTCGCTGGCGTTTTAGTATACTTTCCTAGTAGACATGTTCAACTCTTCGTACAGAGAAATATTAGCTCTACACAACAGACCCTTCTAATTGAGAATTTCGAGCCTGCTTCACACTTGAGCTCACAACAGAAAGCGAGCGACAGATATCTTGGCGGATAGGTTTAACGTCACATCATAAACCTGTTTAAGCATTGGGTCAAGGTACATTTCAGTTGCGGGAAAAGCATTTATAGCGGTAAAGGTGTAAACTGTTTAAAGCAGGACCGCCGACAATAAGGCCATGGTGGCAAAAGCAGGCGTCATTGTATCTCACCTTGCTGCCCAGTCCCTCTGCAGGACAGTAATCCAGTTCCGGGGGTTCCCGAATCCTCTCAGCTAGAAGATCCATGTCTGGCACTCCTCAGCTCAAGCAACTTCCCAAAAAGTGTGTGCAGCACAAAAGAGTCTGCTATTACAGGAACCCGCTTCCGACTCCAAGTGACAACTCCAGGATATAAATAAATACACCGAAATTCACGGAGACCGCTGCCTTACATAAAACAAGCGTAGGCAGCACCGAATGAACCAGGACACCTGCCAGTGACACAGGGACGGTTAACGCAAAGGATGATCTGCAACCGCAGCACTCGCTTCAAATCAAGTGTTAAGCGACACAGACCACCGGGAGAGTCATGTTGAGGCACATAGACACGGACATCAGACCATTGCAAGACCTCGCAGCTTCTGACACACCAAACTTGTCACTGAGACAAGCAGGACGTAGAACTGCTGAAGACAAACCAAGACAAGGACCTTCGGAGCACCGGAAACAAGAAAGACCTCAAGGCATAAGGCCAACCGGTGAATGGAATCGCTCGCTCTCCTCAGGACACGGTTAGTGAAGAACAGTCTCTCGGCGGTTGCTGATTCTCGAAGCAAAGCCTACCAAAGTGCGCCGACACGGGCGAAACTCGGAAGGACGAGATTGAGAATCTCATTCAATATCCACGGAGGAGGCAGTTTTCGGTTGGAAGACACGGTACCACAACAATTTGAAGATTCGCGGGGGGTGGTGGTACAAACACGACGGACGACACTGCGGATGACAGTAGGGCACACGAGAGAGCAGTTCTGCGATGTCCGAGATGAGCGTATGATCCTTCGTGACTAACCAGGCAGACACGCGGAAAGAGAATATGGAGGCAATTTTCGGGGAGTTGAATGCCGCGGCAAGAGAGTGTGTTTTTCGAGCAACGAAGCCGGTGGGACCCACGAACCAGCGAAAGGAGGAAGGAAGACGAGGTGAGGAGGATGAAGAGGGGGGCCACGTCCCGGAACGGCGGGAGGAAGCAGGAAAGTTTTTTGGCAGTCGCCTCACCTGCTTTCGCTTTCAGTTACTGACCCAACTCTCGCTTTCCTTCTCACGTTGCCTGGACCGGCTGACGGGGGGTGCGGTGCGGGGACGGACCACCAGACTCAGAGGAGGGCAACTTTTGGAAGGGGCCCTCGCCGATGGGTAGAACACGTTATTGGTCTCGACACAAGGTCGAATCCGTGAATTCGGCGTGCCGCAGTCGTCACCGGCTGGACTCGCAAGAATTATAGTTCATCGTTTCTGAAAATATATTTTTTGTTCTTATTTGTAAATATCGATTTTTATTGGGGGGTGGAAGACATCTTCAATATTACTATTTCAACATACCCTTCCAAACAACTTTCACTGATATTATTTCAGTGACTACATCGAACGAGTATTGCGTGTACAAATTGAACAAATGCTTTATGTTAATTCTTAGCAATAAAGAAGCAATATACTTGTAATTGTAACCTTATTTATTGCCGAGGCAGTCTCTGGCGCGAATGTGTACATTCCAATTGTCACGCATATAAGGTGGTGAAGGAGGCAACGAAGTCTTGACACCGGCCTTGCTTCGTGGCGCTTTTATTAGTTGTTCCTGTGCATGTTAACATTGTATGTGGTGTGGCGAAGAGCCTATGCGATGAGTGGTGGCAACCGGGCGCAAAGGCAGTGACGGTGAATCATAAGAGCGGTGCACCTTCCTGATGATATTTATTGCGACTGGTAATTTAAGAAACGTCGGGCGTGGCTAAATATTGTGATAACGCTTCGTAATTCGCTTCGTTCATCTTATCAGCTAAGTTCGCAATCCCATTGAGTTCAGAGTGATAATAAAGTACTCGTTACTTACCCCGGTTGCGTTTCTATAGGCTGCCAGACTGCCAGTGACCGTATACAGTGTGTCTCGTATGTCCTCCCCTTCAACGGCACGGCTATTCTCAAGCTTCGTGACATCTGTGCAAACAAAAGATATGTAAACGGACGTGTGAACAGTTCGTTCACTACTCAGCGCATTCTTCTGCAGCCTCCCATTCTTCCATCCCTTTCCCGTGCAGAGTGTAGCTTGCCGGAGTATTTTTCTGTTTTACCTCTCGGCTGTTTATGTGCTTTACTTTCCGAGTTGTTAAAAAACAAAATGCACACTTCCGACACTTCCGGAGTTTTTAACATTTACAGTAGACATTGTGGCTAGAAATACACTGACCAAGTTTTTCCCGTCCTCCGCTCACTTTTGTCATTGATTTTAGTCAGACGTGTCAAGGCAGACGGAGTTCGCATATACCAAACACCGATGCAACCGTTTCTTTGTCGCGGCGTGTTCCAAGCAAAAAGGAGAAACTCGACGCTATCGAGGTTAAACGTATAGACGCTTTACAGCAGCTGTGCATGGGCGCCGCCATAACCGACCTTCAGTATTTGTTCCCTCTTATTCCGTTCGCTTCACTTCATCATTACCACAGCAGGACAGGTTATTGCCGTTTTAAGTGTTATTGTGTCCTTCTCCCCAGCATAGGCCTTTATGGAGGGTCGTTAACGCCCGCTTCAGTGGCTCGGTATTTCGGTAAGACAAGAGAAGGGCGGCTATGGCGGCTCAATCTGGCGCGTGTGTAAAGCGTCTATATACCAACTCAATCTCAGGTGCAATTCGAAATCCACCTGAAATGTATGCCGCATCTCATTTGCTGCGGCATCCGTAGGACCGTAGACGGCGCTATAGTAGAAATCGAAGCCAATCCAAAGCCACGTGAGTGTCACGGGGCCTTCGGGATGGCCTCAGCGACGCGCGGCGCGCATAGTCACGTGACATATCCACGGCGCTAGATTGGCTGGTACGGCTCGTATTATGTCCACTGCATGCGGTCCACTGTAGGCTCTAAGAAACCTGAAGCGTCTGCATCTCCCACAAAGCACTTCGGAGTGGCAATCGCTGAAATCTATGCAGCAAGTTTGGCGAATGATGGGGCTGATAATATCTTCGAGCCTGATATTAAAAAATAAAAAAAAATGTCTGCGCTTTTGAACTCAGTTTGACGTTTCACTGTGCTCAGTGCAACAACGCAAACCGTTTTGTTTTTCGGTATAAAACTCTCTATACATATGCACCGAGAAACTGAGGGAGACGAGAACACGCTGGAACGTCCGAACGCCGAGCTAAGGTTCGAATGATTAATGGTCTGCTAAAAGTAGCAGTCTTTGTCTCCACTGCCCTCGTGGAACGCGCTGGAATGAAAAAACCGAGCGCCAGACACCGGAATTCTACGCTCTAGCGCGTTCGACGACAGAGGCTGCTCGCTTCAGGTCTACACCCATTAATCATTCCTAACTAGGCGTTCCGACGACCCCACGTGGTCTCGTCTCCTCCTAATATAAGCACCACGATTTGCCGATTCACTCTCCCAAGTGTTTTGATATAGACCAGTGCACCAGATCTTTTAGGGTGTAAGGTGAAACGCCTCTCCCTTTTAAGCTTTTGACCCGAAAATAAATAAACATCTAGAATCGCTATATCTCCATTTCATAGTATAACGCTGTCAAAGCGGCTGGCGCGAGCGTGAGGCTTGATCTCTCAGATCATTTGCACGCGTTCCCGCGCAAACGAAACCCTATATATATGTGAAGCCACGCGCTTGCGACGCTAGCTTTATAGCGTTAGTTACCTGAGCCGCCACCAGTCGGCGCGCTCCCCAGGCCGCCATTGCCGGCCTGTATTTTGGCCTGCGCCTGCACTCCGGTTACCTCGCTTAATTAATGAGCGACGGCAGTGGAACGCATAAACAGATTCCAAAGGGCAAGACGTGCCCCGTAGTGGGTTGCAAAATACTGAAGTGGCGACATTGAGGTCTGGAACCACACTGTGTGCATTGAACATGCCCCGCTGAAACACATGGACTGTCCTTGCGATATAGGTGCCGCATAACTACCAAAACCTAGAAAAAGTCAATATTATTCGAAACTATAAAACATTGAAGCAATTAATATTGAACTTCCAAGATTCATTTATATTTTTCTAAAGGACTTTGATGGCGGTAGAGTACAAACTAACTGGAACATGTTCATGGCTAAAATCAATAGTTTAACTAACAAATACATGTACACGAACGGTCATCTGAAACCGAAACGCTCGGTGGTATATAACCATCACATTAAGCGCCTATCAAATAAAAAGAAACGACTGTGTAGATCTGCAAAAACCTTCTTCTACTCAATGGTCGCTGGACGGCGGCTTACAAACTTGCTTCCAATTAATGCGTAACAGCAATACAAAAAGCTAAACACGACTTTCTTCATAATACCTTTTTCATCCGTGCAAGCGACTGATACGAAGAAAATCTGGCGCGTTATAAACTCTAAGGACAATGACAATATAACCCGAATTGACAGTGCCGAAAATGTTATTCCCCTAACCTGCGTGCGTCCGCTCCTACTGATGTTTTTAAACGTAACTTTTTCGCAACCACAAATGTTTTGTTACCACCTCCGCACCAGCACGACTGCATTGTAATGCCTCCGATAATAATCGAACCTACTGGCGTGGAACGAGTGATTAGAACACGTCAACCATATTCCGCTCCTGGCTGTGATTCAATTAACTTACAGTTTTTCAAAAGTACCATACTATCATAGATTTTTCAGCAGACACTTAAGAATGGTTTTCTTCTTGTTGAGTGGAAGGTCGGGAAGGTGCTTACACTGCGTAAATCAGGTAACAAGCATCCCCCACTTAATTATCGGGTCATTCCTCTCACCACCATCGTATCCGAAACCTTAGAGCATATTCTGTTTTCGAACTTAGCTAATTTTCTTGAGTTTAAGTTGTTTTTCACACTTTTCCGAACCTGGCTTTCAGAAAAGCTATTCATGTCAAACACAATTGGTATCCTTCACGCATAAACTAAAGGTTATTCTCGACCACACTTCACTAGCCCATTCCATTTTTTTTCCCAGAGCGTTCGACCAGCTGTGTCACAAATTATTACTTCACAAACTACATCAACTTAACGTCGATTCTTAACTTTTAACATGGCTTGAATATGTCTCGGTGTATCGTTTAGTTTGCTTCGGCTAAAAATCTAAACTCTGAGCCAACTGCGTTCACTCCGGTGTACGGCGAGGCTCGGTGCTTGGTCTTCTGCTTTTCTTATCTATATTAACGCCGCCTACCTTATTATGTCTCTCCTCGTATTCATATGTTCGCCGACAATTGCGTAGTTTTTCCGCAAATAACTTGTAATGATGACTTAAGATGTGACCTCGACGCTATCTCTGTGTAGTGCGAAACTTGGTGTATGGAGCTAAACATTTACAAATGTAAATTTTCGCTGGTTTCCAGAATAATTCAAGAACTCCCACTTA